CACACACAGCAGGAAAGGAGTCGATGGATGGATGTCACTGTGTGTCGTCGATCGGTCCATCAGTTGGCGTCATTGGGCAACGAGGTGGTGATGGAGAAGAGCGGCATGTTCTCCAGAGTGCCCGGCGATCTCGGCTTCGACCCGCTGGGGCTCGCAGACGAGGGAATTCGCGAAGACTGGGCGCTCGCAGAGATCAAACATGGACGACTCGCGGTATGTCAGGCACTCAAGGCATACACGTCTGATCGATTATTGCGAGTGTGTGTGTGTGTCAGATGTTGGCTGTGCTGGGCATGCTGCTGCAAGTGGGTGCGCGGCCGGATAAGGGCATCCTGGAGATGACGGGCGACTGGCTCGCGGGCAACCTGTGAACAGACACTTAGACCCTGCTGGCTGCGACTCCTCGATGCCTCGCGCATGCAAGCACTCGTGTGCCCCGAGAGTCGCAGGCAGGCAGGGTGGTGGACAGCACAATTTTTCCATCCCGTGGCCTGTCATTCGGTGTTCTGGTGTGATTGATGCCTTGTGAGTTCCTCTTGAAGTCCAGCACAGAGGGGCGTCGAGATCTGCGCTTGGGGCTCAAACCCCAAAGCGCAGATCTCAATTGCCGTTCCCTGCTGCGTGTCAAGAGGATCTCACCCAGTGTCTGTCTGTGTGTTGAACCCCTTAGAGCTATGTGTGTGTTGTAGATGAGAGTTGACGGACGTGACGTTCTTGTGTACTGGGGGCGGTGGGTGAGTGGGGCGTGCCTGAAGGCAGGCCGGCTTACATGGATATCCGACGACACGCCAAGTTTTTCCTGTGTGCAGTGGGCGGGCTGCTCTCGGTTTGGTAACCACACACAGATGGCAGGGTTGCAGGCAGAGCTGCCTGCCTTGGTGTGCATTGATTGCATGAGTGAGCGGGTGGGGTGGATGGATGGATGGATGGTCGATGCTTTGCTGTACATAAACAGTCAGACATACAGAGAGAGACACTGTCGGCCTGTCTGTCTGTCTGATGACCAGATCAACAAATGGATAGAGTCAACCAGCTACTCTGCGACAAATAGTCACACACACACACACAAATGCACGCCGAACCACGCAGCCCTCTCCACTCCCCTCTCAAACCCACACAAACGACAAGAACACACATCTCCCTCCACACCACACACACACACACATCACACCGGCGACTGCGTAATGAACGTCCGCCTTTGCTGCGCCTCGTCCCCACTTCTAGGCGACCCTGGGCTGAATGTGCCGCTCCTCTTCAGCACGCCCTTGAGCTGCTGAGGCAAGTCGGACGGCCGCTCCCCCTCCACAGTAGAGAATGTCCTCGACTTGAGGGCCGCTGCAGCCGACCTCGGCGAGAGCCCCCCTTCCAGCGGGTCGCTCAGGAGGAATATCACGCCGTGTGCCGACTCGTCAGAGGTGATTGGCAGCACACGGACGGCCTTGACAGTGCCCTCGGCTGCATCGGCCCCACCGCCCCCACTGCTGGTGGTGCCGCCTGTGGCGGTGGTGGTGAAGGGGTATATCCTGGTGTGCGTGTGGACCTCGTTGTCTCCCTCGACGGCCTGTGTCCACATGGCAAGGAGCTGGGGGTTGGTGCGGCCGAAGAGCTCGCTGAGGTGGCGGCCCAGCCACTGCTGAGCCGACTCGAGGTAAAAGACGTCGGCCGCCTCGCTGTTCATCTTGATGACGCTGCCTGCACAGACGCACACACACGCGGGTGGGTACACGTATGTCTCTGTGTGTGTGTGTTGGGGGAAGGTGTGTGTGCCTGTGTGTATACCTTGGGCTGATACGACAATCAGGGCTACGGAGAGGCACTGGAAGACGCGTTCGTTGAGCTCTGCCGAGAGGGTCAGCTCCTCCAGACTCTCAGACGTCAGCAAGATGGAGGCCACGATGCTGCACAACTCCTGCATAGAATACACACACACAGATATACATCCACCCATGAAGATGACAGGAGACATGGCCATCAACACACACCTACGTTCATGCGGTCCTCATCGTTGCGCGTAAAGACGCCTCCCAGCTTGTTGATGGCCTGGATACACGCAAGAGAGAGAGAGAGGCATCCCACCATCCACATGCACAAGCCATGTCTCACTCACCCACCTGTATGACGCCGATGGGCTGTCCGCCGATAGGATGTCGAATGGGCGAGCCGAGAATGGTCCGTGTGCGGAACCCCGACTCACGATCGACGGCCTGATTGAAGCTGCATTGCACGAAACATACATGAGATGGGATGAGTGGCCATGCCATGGGGGATAGAGGGAGAGGGAGAGGGGGATTCTTTCCAACTTCCTGACTCACCGTGGGTCTTTGTATGCGTCAGGGATGTTGAGCAGGATGTTGTTCATGAAGACAGCGCCTGCGATGCCCCTGTTCTCGGGGATCTCGATCTGGATGTTGTCGATGCCCTGAGCCACAATCGCCCACAACTTGCCGCGGGCCGCGTCAGACAGAAACAACGTGCACCTGGTATATCAGAGACACAAGGATTGAAAGAGAGAGACACATACACATACACGTGTGTAGGGTGGGTATGGTATGTGCAGTGAGTGGTACCTCTCGGCCTGCAGGATGTTGGCAACGCCGCGCATGACCTCCCTCACAAGCGGGCTCATAATGCGTTCCTTGGTGCCGGATATGGCCTGCTTGATGAGCCGCTTCTCGTTGTCGTAGTGGTACCGCAGCTTCCTGTGCAGCTTGGGCGACGTCAGGCCAGGTGTGATAAGGTTGCCAAGCGACTGGGCCAGCTCGAAGTCTGCCTCTGTGAAGCACCCATCGCCACTGTTGCACCGCTTGTTCAACAGCTGCACAACACCTACCACCTGACACCCACAACACACACACACACTCGTGCATTGCTGCTGGCTGGGTGACAGACAGAGAGACGCCCATTCTTCTCGATTGCATACCTACCTTGGGGCCGAGTCTAAGCGGCACGCAGAGGACGCTCTTGGTTCTGAACTTGGTCCCTTTGTCGACAGTGGGGTTGAACCTGGGGTCCTTGTATACGTCGTCGATGAGGAGCGGCACTCCTGACTCGAAGACCGAGCCGATGATGCCCGCACCCTTCTTGACGCGGATGGGCATCGAGAACGAACCAGTCAGACACCTGACAGACAGGACAGAGAGAAGATGGCGTGTCTCTCCCGTGTGTGGGTGTGGCCTGCCTGTGTGTCTGTGTGTCTGTGTACCTTGAGAAGAGCTCTCCCCTGTCTGGATCAAAAATGAATATACTGCCCCTCTCTGCCTCGACCACATCCACCAGTATCTGCAGCCACTGCAATCAGGTAGTTAAATGCACACAAACAAAGAGATGGATGGAGAGAAGGGGAGAAGGGAGAAGGGTCTGACGGCAGACAGACTTTGGTCAGTCACCTGTGGGATGAATTTCTGGAGGTCGTTGTGGAATACGATGTTCTTTGAGACGAGGTAGAAGATGGTGGCCTCCACCACCAGCTGCAGACACTTCTCCTCGAACAGACTCTACATGGAAGACACACACACACAACCCGCCGTCATGTGCTGTGTCGTGTCTCCCTTTATCTCCCTGTGTCTGCCCTGCTCCACCCACCCTAGCTTCGTTCCCCAGCAGGAATCTCAGTATCTGCTGCATCTCCTCCTTCCGGAACTGACATGTCAGTATAGACTGCACCACACCACACCACACACGATACCATACACAGCGAAGAAGCGGTGCATCCAATGACGCAATATATGCATTCTCATGCACACGTGTGTACCTTGAGCAGAGGGGTCGCCTCAAAGCTGTACAGTCTGCTGGGGTGCAGCTCCCTCTTGCCCATGGTCGTCACAGCTGCCGAGTCCCTCTCGACTGGCGACGGCCCGCCTGTTGCAGGGGTCACCCTTGCCTGATCACCATCCCTCTCCCTGTCTCTCGTATCCACCGGCCATGCTGCTGTGTGTGTGGCCGTCTGCAACTGCGGCTGTGATGCCTCTTCCCTTGTCGCCGTCGGGTTATTGCCCAGCGAAAGACTCTGGAACTGTCTCCGCCTCTTGTCGGTCTTCCTCTCCCTCTCCACCGTCTCAGCAGCGTCCCTTCTCGCGGCAGCTGTGGTGGCGGGCAGAGAGCTCCCCTCCGATGTCACTGCCAATGCAGCCTCGGCAGCAGCTGTGGGCGGCTTCACACTAGCACGGAGCATGACAGTTGTCTTCCTTCGTGCCGCACGGGGCTCGGTTGTGGGGGCGGGCGGCAGTGCGTTGGCGAGGTCTTGTTGGAACTTGTGCTGGAGGCCTTTCGCTACATCGTGGCTGTGTGCAGCTTTGTATGCGTGGGCATTCTCGAGGACCTCGTCTGTGGCCGGCAGCTTTGAGAGTGGCGGCACTTCAATCAGATGACGATTCATCGTCTCAACTAGCTCTGCCACCTGCGCACAGAGACGGAAGGAACAAATTCACACGCAGAGAGAACATAACACAGATTGATGTGCGTACCGTACCTGGCTTCTGAGAAGGAAGACAGTGTCCCGCAACCGTTTGATTTGTCCCTCCTGGTAGTCAACTGTCTGCTTCTGCGCCGCGATGGTCATCTCCTTGGCCCGCACCGTCTCTTGCAGACTCGCCACTCGCCCCTCAAGCACCTTGACCTCCCCCTGGAGGTTCTGCCACTTGACCGACGGCACCGAGATGTGCCCCGGCAGGGCGGCCATCCCAAGCCCCGCTGCGAGAGCTGACAGCCGTGCGGACCGGCCCTCACGCACGGTGAGAGGTGGTAGATGGAGGGACGAGTGCCTCTGGGAGGAGCGGGGCAATGAGGCGCGTGACGGGTTGAAGAACGAGGAGGGGAAGGTGGTGGCCGTGGCCGTGGCTGCTGCTGTTGCTACGGCAGTGGCAGCGTATTGGGGGTCTGGTGTGTGGTCGTTGTCGAGCGGAGTGGACCTGGTGGACATGACGTGCGTGCGGGAGTTGAGCGGCAGAGGCTCGAACACCTTCTCAGCGGGCCGCTGGTACATGATGGATGGCACTCCTCCAGTCACACGGCCGCAAGGAGGGGGTGGGGGGTTGGTGTGCGGAGTCTCAGCTGTTGTCGCCAATCGGTGTCGATTCGTTGGACCTTTGGAATTCGCTGCTTTGTGGTCACCTGTGGTCTTTGGGGCTCTTCCTCTTCCTCTGATTGTGTCAGCTAAGCTCGCAGGTGCGATCGCATTCATGAGTTGAGCCTCCAAGAGAGCACACGTCTGTCTATGTACAACGGCTGCGTGCAGACTGTCTGCTAAGCAATTGCATAGCCTCTGACTCAGACTACGCCACTACCATTGGCCGCGGCGGCCCCATCATGCTCAGTCACCTCCTCTCTGTACACCTGCACGCAGCACAAATCAATCCCAGAGGTCAGAAACGCACTCCATCTTCGCTTCGCCCCTCCCCCCGGTATCACTTACACGCATGAGGGGCCTGTCGGTGTCGATGAGGCGGATAAAGAAGGTGTCGTCGTCTGCCGCCTCCTGCAATGCCGCCTGCTGGCATAGGTCGGACTGGACCATCTCGGTGGCCACCCAGTTGCACTGCAGACGGTCGACGGCACTCTGCTCCTGAACACACACACACACAAAGATGGACGAACCGATGACTTGGTGTATCTGTCCATCCATCTGTGTGCGGACGGACTTCTTCCAGACGAGTGAATCCTATGTCTGAAAGGCAACCAACACACACACACACACAGACACACACACACACTGAGTCTCATCCATCTGAGGAACCACACCCCCCCCCGCCCACCCACTGACCTTTTTGGAGTCTCTTCCGCCCCTCCTCCCCCATGGCCACATCGATCTTCTCGGTGGTCTCGATTCGCACCTCCCAACTCACATTAGGCGCTGGGGCCACACCACCACCACCGCCACCACCACCACCACCACCCGCACCCGCAGCCGCTGCAGCAGCGGCAGGCTGCCCGTTGTTGTCAGCGTCGAGTGGGAATCGTGCCTTGACTTGGGTCTCCATGGCGAGGAGGGCGCAGTGAAAGTTCTCCTCCAGGCTGCGGAGGATGTCCTTGATGTGCGTGCTGTCGGGGTGGTACTCACGCCAGCTGGCATCGAACTGGGAGAGGGACAGGGGACAGAGGGGTGTGTGTGTGGGTTGGTGTGTCGGGGGGGGGGGTGCGTGTGAGGGAGGTGGTTGGCGTGTGGCTGACTTTGAATACGAATCGTTCTTCCTTTCCGAGTCTGCGTATGGCGATGATGACTTTGCTGAGGAGCCGCTGCTTCATCACATCCCTGAGGCTGCTGAACACCCTGTCAGTGTACTCACATACACGAGGCGACCTGCACCACCTGCAGCACACACAAACACACGCCAACCGTCCATCCATCCATCCATCCATCCATCCATCGCACCAGTCTGTCTGCCTGCCCTCTGTTCTTTACGACCCATTTGCTCACCACCGCAGATCGCCCAGCCGCCGCTCCCTCGAGAACAGCTCTGCATTCAGGCCAGCCAGCAACCACAGGCTAGGCTCCAGTGACAGTGTGTGTTATGTATGGGTGCCTTTGGGGTAGACGTTGCGCGTGCAAAGGATGGCGTGAGTGCAGACCTCCAGGAACTCGCAGAAACGACCGCTCACAACTGATCTCAAGACAACGTATGAGAATGAGTCAGACAGCGGTGCTTTCGGTTTTCTGAGCATCCTGACCGTCCATCAGATTCCTCTGGTGGTTCTGCATCGCTCTCGTGGCGACTTCTGTGCTTAGGGCTTTTCCTGAAACACTGTGCGAGCTTGAGAATGGCTCCTCAGCGTGTCCATCCGCACCGATCTCTTCATGCGCGACTCAGCGAGGATGGACAGGGTGTGCGCAGGCCCCTGCAGAGCCATCGCATGGACCATCGCTGCCGTGGTGTCATGTTTGTGGTGCCTGACGGGCGTGGATGCCATAGGCGGCGGCAGTGTGGTCAAGATCCGACACGAGCACGACCGCCTACTCATCAGAAGGGTACGTACAGTCAGTACATGGCAATTAATGGCACAACCATGCGGCCAGGCAGAGGACAGTCAATCTTGAGTGGTTGAATGGATGATTGGTGATTCATGGCGTCTGTCCTGTCTGCGTTGGTCCCTCCCGCCTGGCTGCAGGTGCTGCGGAATACGTATCGAGTGTCGCGGGCGTATGTGTTCTCCCTGCTGGACCCAGGCTACGAGGCGCCTTTGCTGCTCAGGCCACCACCCACACGAAGCAGGTAGGTAGGCCGGCGGTGGCCACACATATATACGCAGCCACGACAAACAGCTGAATCTGCCCACTGTTCGTTCGTTGCTCTCTCCCCTCTCTCAGATGGCGTCGTCGCGTCGCGTTGCCTCGTGGCCTTCCACCGCAGCTGACACAGCAGGAGGAGCAAGAGAGTCAGCCTTTGATCGACGAGCAGGACATACTGGGGGAGGAGACCGATGTGGACACCGACACAGAAACGGAGGAGGACCAGCAAGACACACCACCACAGCCCTCTGGTGACGCGGGACAGGCTGAAGAGAAATCAGAGAAGGGGGCTAAGGCTGGTGCGATGGAAAAGGGTCAAGAGGGAAAGGAGGAGGAGAAGGACGGCGCGTTGAATGCCGACTCGTATATCGAGGGGGCCACTGACTATTGACTGACTGACTGACTGACTGACATGACCTGCCTGGGTGGGGGTGGCCGAAGGAAGGAATGGGCGGGCGTCTGGAGCGACATTCGTATACACGTGTTTCTCGTGAGTGTGATTCGTTGAATTCCTCATCTGACACTTGCAGAGGTGTGTTTGCTGTTGACTGACTGACAAGAGCTTGTAGTACACACACGAGACAATCAACCCACACGGGCAGGGCATCGTCCGTCCACTCACTCACTCGTGTACACAACACAGAATGAAGGAAGGTTCGGGGAGGGGGGTGCCTTGAAAATGCACACCCACACACCCACACACCCGTTGCAGACACGTGTATACAGTAGACTACACTACATTCATCCATCCATCCATCCATCCATCGGCTCACACACATGGACTGGACAGAAGGTGGCACATACATAAGGCAGGCAAGACACCCACCCGTAAAACCCTCCGCCCCACCGGCCGTCTGTCTGTCTGTGGATCTGATTATCTTCCTTGATCTTCCTGGAGCTGTTTGAACTTCTCGACTCGCAGCGCCCGGATCTTGTTGTCCATCTCCTCGCGAATGCGGAGGAACTTGTCGATTTCCGTGTTGACGCTGTGCCACCAGAAGGGCAGTTGGCTCTCCCTCCTGGTGTAGCCCAACTGGTGCGTCTCCTCGATCTCGTCGCGAGACGCGTTGAATGGCTGGGGGAACGGCAGATCGTGCAATCCTGCACACACCACACCACACACACAAATGGGTGAATGGATGGAGGATATGATAGATACGTGTGTGTGTGTGTGTATGTGTCGACATGCATAGCTGAGTGGCGCACCTTGGCCCCTGGACTTTTGAATGTGTTGCATCTGTTGCTGGGGCGTCATATTGCGGAAGTCCGTCTCGCTGACGGTGTACTTGGGAGGGGGCTTCCTGGCGCCGTCGGCTTTGGGCGGAGCACTCTGCGGCCGGTGCGGCTTCTCGGGCACCGGCACAGGCAGGTCCTGCATGTCCTCTATCAGGCGCTCCATCCTTTCAAGCCCTGAAACAATGCAACCACACACACACACAGGTGGATGGATGACGTGTGTGGGCATGGCTGAAGCGGTGTGTCCAGCCCGTCTGTCTGTTTCTCCGTGGCGTGTGCGTGTGTGTGTGCTTGCGTACGTTCGCCAGGGTCTGCGGGGGCCGTGTAGGTCCCCTGTTGCTTCTCGAGGAACTCCTTCCTCTCGAGCAGCTCCTTGACGCCGGGCTCGCTCTCCTCGTCCTCAAAACCCTCGGGGAAGGCCATGTTGGCCACACGGGGCAGTGTAAAGCTGTCGGGACCCTTGCCAGGCTCCCACAGACCACAGTCAATAATCCTGAAGAGTGCCAGACAATGGGCAGACAGCACGTCAATCAGCCCAGCCAGCATTGACTGATTGAGTGGGTGGATGTGTGATGTCTTGTCTGTGTCTGTCTGTCTGTCTGTTAGATGTGCTGAGTGAGGGTATTGGCTACCTACGTACCGTATGGGCGCACAGGGTCTGCCGACGCGCGTGCTGTGCTGCTCGACCTCTCTGACGACCCTCATGCCCTTGAGGACGGTGCCGAAGACCACACAGCGGCCCTGCTCTATCCTGCTCATGGGCGAGAACGTGATGAAGAACTGACTGTTGTTCGAATTCGGACCTACACGCAACCCACCACAGACAGACAGACAGACAGCAGTGGATGGATGGATGGTCGAATGAGTGACTGGTTGGTTGGTTGGTTGAGCGGGTGGATTGACGTGTGTCCCTCCCCACCAGTTGAGACCATGGCCACATCGCCGTCCTGGATGAACTCCATCTGAAAGTTCTCATCCGGGAACCTGTGCACACACACACACATACTCACAGTCCTCGGTTGCTCCTCTCCAGGAATGGTGAGTAGCGTTGTTTTGGCAGGCAGCATTCTTTGCTCCCTGACTCACTGACTCCCTCACTGACTGACTGACTCACTGACAGACTCACTTCGGCCCATATATGGAGAGTCCGTGTGTGCCGGTGCCTCGGATGACGTCCCCGCCCATCATGAAGACGTTGCGCGTGGATCGGTAGAAGAGGGTGTTGCGGTAGCCGATGATCTTGTCGCCCACCTTGTAGCCCTTGATCAGCTGCACGAAGTTCTCGCACGTCAGAGGCACCTGGTTGCCGTACAGACCTATCAAAATCCGACCGATGTATCGGTTACCAATCGCCAAATCCAAATACACCTGATTGATTGATTCATCATGACAGCAGACACCCAGACAGACAGACAGACAGGCAGATAGACAGACACCCAGACAACCATTTGTGTGTCGCTTGCAGCACCCAGCACCCACAGCACAGGCGTGACCGCCTGCGTACCTACCTTCTCAGTGACGCTTTCGTAGTAGAACTGTTGTCTTTTGACGCTCTTTTGTCTGTTGACGAAGAGGTAGGTGGGTCCGACGACGACGGGGATAGAGATAGTGGCCTTGGTCATGGTGGATGTCCGCAGCCACCAGCCCAGGATACCCCGCTGCTGGGTGAACCACGCACTGCTCACCATGATAAGTAAAAGGATATATAGGCTCAGATCTGATCCTGTAACATCAGGATCTGCATAGTGGCAGCAGCTGGACCTAGAAGCTTCTGCTGACGGCGAGGCTCCCGTGGGAAATCCCTTGCGAGCTTGGATCGCCCGAGGGAGAGAGGCCAGCAGCGAGGAAAGAGCGTGCGCGTGTAGATGCTGGACCTGTGGCTTGAGTGCTTCATTGCGAGAACAGGTGTGGCAATACATAGCACGAACGTGCGTGTGAAGCAGCGACCGAACAGCTCGATTCCGTCCGTGATTCAAGAGTCGGCCAGCTGGTGCATTGCATGAAGTTGCTCCTTGCTGTGGTCAGCCTCGTGGTGTCATCGACGGTGAAGGAACCTGCGGCAGATCAGATCCGTGGTGAGTGAGACCATCCAGCATGACGTTGGTTGATTGCACTGCACATCACGGCCATGATGGCCTGTTTGTGGTTGTGCCTGTTTGTTTGTGTTGTAGTTTGACTGACTGCAGTGTGGGAACCCCCAGCTGAGCTTAGGCTTTTATGATCCATCCTCAGTGTCGCTTCACCGCTGGGTGGATGATGGCTGTCTTGTACTTGTTCGTCATCCTGGGAGGATGGCTCCTGTGCTCCGTGGCTGAGAGGGCGGTGCCGGCATCTATGACATTCCTACATGCGAACCAGCGCGGCCGCAGCGGTGTTGCCTGGCGGCGAGTGAGGCGGCTCAAGACAGCCACGAGGCTGGTGCCGATGAGTCAAGGAACTGCCACGAGCGGCGAGTTCCCCGAAGGTACACTTCCTTCCTTAGCTGGCTGGATGGGTGGAGCGAGACAGCCAGCCAGCCAGCGAGAGAGGACGAGGCGGACAAGCACTCACTCAAGTTCTGTGTGCCTGTCTGTTTGTCTGTGTCAGACTCAGCTGTCGAGTCTGCCGGGCAGGTCGGACCGCTGGGTGTCAGCGACAGAAATGCTGTGGAGCTCAAGGCTGGCGACCTTATCAGCGTCGCCAGGCTCACCGAGCCCATTGATCCTGGCGTCCGAGATGTGCCAAGCATCGCTCTCGACCCCAGTCAGCGGCAGCCCTACATCGGCCAGGAGCGAGTCGGTGACATTTTGCGAAAGCTTGTCGGGCACTATAAAGCGAACGACCGCGACCGTGTGGTCCGTGTGGAGCCAATGATTATCACTCGTTTTTCGCGTGGGGGGAAGACGAGATTAATGAAGCAGATCGGGGCAGGCCTCCACGCGCAGGGCATCCCTGCCCTATTCATCACGTATGCATGTAGAAGCAGACAGACAGAGACAGAGGCTGATTCACGTACACTCACTGAGCAATGATGAGCTGTTTGTTTCTTCTTGTGTGTGGCCATCTATCCATCGTTCTGCAGGTTCAACGAGCAGACAGTGCCCACTGACTTTGAGCTATCTGCCTGCAGCCCGCTGTAATCCATCTCGTTGCGGATAGCCTGGGCCACTGCAACACCGGAGGCTCTCGAGAAGGTGCACAGGCTCTGGGAAAGCCTACAGCCCAACTCACCTTCGACGACTGGGTGGAGACTGTCTCCGTCAGCCGTAGGACTATGGAGGAGTGGCTCGGCAGCGACCCTCTGGTCCTCTTTGTTGACGAACTCAACCGGCGCATCCCCCCAGACACTGTGTTCGAGGAAGAGCCATTGGCAAAGGAGCTGGCTGACTATGTTCTTCAGCACTTTCTGAACAAGCGGCAGCGTTACTTTGTGTTTTCGAGCCACGTCGCCGCACTCGGGAACAGTCTCCGGAGGTACTACTCGAGCTTCAGCTTCCGCGGCGTGTACAAACCGCAAATCCCGAGGGTCGAGAGAATCTCCGATGTGATCGAGAGCGGCATCTGCTCAGGCACACACGCTGGTATCGTCTCCTGGACTGGGCGGGCTCCTGGCTTGCTGACGCTCTTTTACAGCAACGAGCCGCCGCAGCCAGACAGGGTTCGAGAGCCCTTTATAGCTATGGAAGCCCCTCGTCTTGATGCGGACCTTGCTCGAGACGTCATTCAAACAGCCATTGAGGGCGATGGGAACCTCCATGGGAGGGCGTTGCCGGCGCAGGGGTGCTCCTCCGACTCCTCTACAGTCACTTGAAGGCCATCGGAGCCATCGATACCGTCACTTACTTGAGCAGGGCGGCAGGCCAGCTGGTCCCTGATGCAGTCGACGATGGATGCAAGTTTGGGGGCGTCATCACTGCAAGGGAGCCGGACACGCTTAAGGATCTCATCACCGAGTTCCACCAGAAGATGGACCCGACACTCGCAGGAGAGCGCTACGTCTCTTATTTTGTCAAGCCCATATACTCAACTCTCCACGGCTTCAGCTTCTTCGTCTTTGTGACCGAGTACGGCAGCTTGACGACAATCTACGGCGGCCCGTGCAAGGAGGGAGCGACGGGCCCCGACAGAGGCTCCGTCGACATCATCAAGCGCAGTTTGTCTGAAGCGCTCGCATCGCTGGCGCCAGACGAGGGCGCAGCGAGGGTCTACTTTCGTGGCACCTGGCTGTGCCGTGACGGTGATCAAGGACAGGAGGTGAACTTTAACAAACGGTTGGAGCGAGATATCGGCGTGGTGCCATCACGTGCCGTCATTCAGGAGGTCATCGGTGTGTCTCCCGCGCAGATGTGTCCTTTCGAATGGCTGGTAGAGGGAAAAGACCAGGCCGGCGGGGAAGGGACAGTGGCTTAGCTTCTTCAGTCGGTGTGTGTCAAGTATGTCTGTCTGGTGCGTGTCACTTCACTCACGATGAGAATGTGGACCAGTTCTTTGTGGGTTTGGGGTGCTTATGTGTATAGTTAGTTATATGCATGTGGCTGGCTGGGTGAATACCCCACATGTACTCGTGTCTCTCGCAGCAATGGCAGGCAGCCAGACCGCCGACTGACATTAACATGACGTACAGACAGACAGGCCCTGCACTCAGTCAGCATTGTCCGTCTGGCTGGTCTACCTAGCGGTCGGTCCGCATCCCGCCTGAATACCACTGAACCACCAACGCATCCATCACCGCACCATCCACCAACGCACACCTTCCTTCCCCATTCCCTTTTCCCTCCCCCTCTATCCACCAAGCACGGCAAACAGACATATAGACAGGTGCACTGTGTGTTGTCTTTAATTGCATGCAAGCACAACTGACTGACGGCTGGGCGCGGCGCATGACTCCTCTCGCGTCGTCTCGCCTCGTCTCGCCTTGTCTATTCGTACCTAGATGTCCCTCCCTCCCTGTACACGCGCCGCGCAGGATGCGCACTCTCTGGCTGGCTGGCTCAACAATATATCGGCAACCGAATCGAATCAAACACACACAGACGGACGTATGGACCTGTACACAGACAGCATAAATGATGACTGTTAGGCATTCAAGAGCAAGACAGACGTGCAAACGTAAAAGTTGGAGCGAGCAAGGGAATATATTGCAAGGGTATATATTGCAAACAAATACAATGCATGCATGGAGAGTAGACGGCCGGCCTGGCTGGCTGCCTGCCTGTGTGGCTGCAGCTCAATCATACGTACGGCAACTAATGAGTGTACTACAGTAGGACGGACGCATCCACCGACCGACCAAGGCAGTCCGTCCGCCCGCAGGGACACGACTTGCCTCTGTCGGCCGTGCCCTGTGGTGTTGGGCTTGGTGTCCACAAGGAACGAACAGCTAGCAGATATCTCTCTCTCTCTGTCACTGTCTGTCTGTCTCTGTCTCCCAACAGGACAATGAGATTCATGACATGCATATCTCACTGACCAGAGTAGAGTACCCACCCACCCACCCCCATACTCCCTCCCTCCCTTTCTTCCTCTCTCCTTTGCCCCAGCTAAGTAAGCTACACACGTGTCAGTCAGTCATATCAACTCGACACCCACCCACCCATCGACCCGACCCACAGCCTATCTGCCTCACTGCACCCATCCATCCATCCACCATCAGCTCAGCTACTGGTCGGCCGGTTCGTCCCAGATGCGTCTGATATGCTGGTCCACCTGCCCAGCCGACAGTGCCCCGCCATGCGTGTCGAGCGGGATGGAGGTGGGGAACACCCGCAGCGACCTGGCCTCGGCGGGCGGGCCGAACACCTCACTCACACGGTGGTGCTGTGGGGGGTGGACCGACTGGTGACTGCTGCTCGCCGCACTTGCCGCGGTGGTCGCCCGGCCGCTGGGCGACATGCTGGGCGAGGACGATGCGATGCTCTCCGACGTGCTGGGGGGCACCTGTGCGTGGACTCCACTGGGGCTGGCGAGGGGTGGTGCCTGGATGTAGGGCGGCGGCTGCTGGAAGTCGCTCCCGCTGTGGTTGCTGTAAGGCGTGTTGTCGCCTATCTGCTGCTGATCCCGCTGTTGGTGCTGCTGGTGCGGCTGTGGCTGCTGGTTGATGTGTGGCGGGAATTGCTGGGGCCCGATGCAGCCGTCACGAAGGCCCAGACCGAAGGGCCGTGGCGCCATGTCGTCGACGGGCGGGCCTGGTCGGCCAGGCATGTGGTGATTTTGGTCCGGGTGAGGAGGCATCTGCATGGGTGATGGCTGCTGCATCGTGGGTGGCGGCCCATCCATCGACGGACTGTCCAAAGACACCCCATACGTCCAGTCGGCCCTGCCGCCCATTGAGGGACCCACCATCTGCATCATGGGAGGCCCACCCCCGCCGCCGCCCCCGCTGGCCATGGGTGCGTCCGGCATGCGACGGCCCAGTCTGCGGTCGAGAGGCGGGTGGTTGCGGGGGCGGACATGGGTGTCGACAGAGCGCGGCCACTCCACCGAAGAGCTCGGGAGATGCGATGGCCCGCTGGGTGCCGGCTGCCATGGCTCCAACGGACGCCCTCCCCAGTGTGGGTCGAAGTCATTGGTAGCTACTGCTGTTGGTCCACGGTTGCTGATACTGTGCGTGGATGGGGATGGGATGGGCAGCAGCCCCTCGTCGCGTCTCGTGGGTGACACCCCCACATTGCCCGACGACGGGCTCGCCAGCTGGGCCCCTCCCCCTCCCACCGCCGGTCGCTGCATACGCATGCTCGCAACTATCTGGTTGAGCTGACGTGTCGCCTCCTCGTTGCTGCTGCCGCTGCTGCTGCCGCTAGACACCACTCTCCCAAACCCGCCGAGTAGGCCAGCGTCGTGAAGCTTCGACCAATATGCCTTCTGGACGGCATCATGAAGCTGATCGGACCCTCCTCGCTTGATGCTGCCATCGTACGACGTCAGGAAAGGCAGCCCACTGCTGTTGTGGGTGGGGGGAGGGGGAGGGGGCCTCATGTATGGTCGATGCTGCTGCTGCTGCTGATGATGATGCTGATAATGATACTGCTGATGATTCTGGTGCTCCTGGTGGTGGTGGTGGTGGTGTTTGGCGTGCTGCTGGTGCGGGGGAGGGGGCGGTCTGGGCTGCACGGTGGTGGCATGGGTGTGTGAGGGTTGGGGCTGAGGGTGGGGGGGCTCTTTGAACGAGTGCGGGATGGGCGGCCAGAATGAGTCGTCCTTGCCGTACCGCTGCAGGTCGACGGGTCGTGGGCTGAGGATCTCGCGGAGCCTCGCCGGCGCCCATGAGGCCTCGTTCATGGCGTGGAGCAGGTACAGCGTCCGCCGCAGGTGCTCGCAGATCTGCTCTTGGCCCTACACACACACACACACACACACAGAGGATGGGCATATGCGTGAGGGCGGGTACGTTGGGGAAGCCCACCCACCTTGTAGTCGGGCGACAGCATCCTGTTTGCTTCGAATGGATCTTCAATGCAGAGCATCGGCAGCCGCTGGCCGAGAGAACGGCTGCGCTCGATGTCGTCACTGCAGGCATGGCGGCGGACACACATGGGGGAGGGAGTCATAGCCACGGTGTTGTGCTAGGTCGTGTGGATGGCTGACCCTAGTGCGTCCCTCTGTTGCTGCGTCTGTTCGTGCGATGGTAGTACGGGCGGCTGTGGGCCGCCCTCCTGCTGCACCCTCTCATCCCTAAGCCCCCCCCCGCCCCCCCACACACAGAGACATTCCTCCAGTGTCCCCTGCCCGCGTGTGTGTTGTGTGCAGATGCTTACCGTCCGTCTGACACATCGCTGCCGCTGCCAGTGGCGGTGCTGCTCCTCTCACGCCCACCCATGCCGCCCGCTGTCTCGCCCGTCCCGCCCCCGCACCCCCCGTCCATCGCCTGCTGCTGGTGGTGCTTGCCAGTCTTGAGCTTGAGGCCGTGCTCCACTGCACGCGCCAGATCACACTGAGTCAACCTCAGCAGATTCCTGGCCTCCTCCCAACCTGTGTGTGGTTGTGTGAGAAGAGAGAGACAACAGTCAGTCACATCAACGAACACAACACGAGAGTGCGGCCAGCCATTTCCCTCCGTCCCGTCTCATATACCGAGGTGCGGCAGGACTTCCATCAGGTGCTTGACGGCCCCGTCGCTGATACTGAGGACCGGTGCGGCATTGGCACTGGCATTGGCCGACTGTGGCAGTGCGGCATGGTCGAGGTCATCGCTGCCGCTGCCGCTGTCATCGTGGGATGGAGAGGGAGAGGGAGAGGGCGACTGGGATGAGCCGCTCGCGGGGGCGCCACGCTTCAGAATCCGGATGGGGGGCGACATCGTGGGGCTGGCCGGGGAAGGCTGCTGCTGCTGCGGCTGCTGGGGATTATGCTGTTCAACACGCCGCATGGTGTGAGTGGCCGCATCTGCAGCAGACAGAGGAGGACGGTTGTTTGATGTGTCGGATGTGTGTGTGTGTGGTAGGGTGTGTGTGTGTTGTGTTAGTTACATGGTGGTGTCGGTGGGCTGATGTTTGCGAGTTCTTTGTTGAATTGGAGCAGCTTGGCCTTGGGCACCACTGCCGGCGCCAGACGCACAGACACCACGTCACGGTAGAAGTGGAACTCGTGGGCATAAAACCTGACACAACACATAATGCGCGCGTGTGTGGGTGTGGTGTGGTGTCGATGCGGTGTGCTCACTGGAAGAAGTCGAAGAGGAGTTGGCCGACGGACATCTTGTTCCTACTCTTGTACGCGGCACCCCACGGTCTAACCACCAACACGGCACACACACGCACACACGCACACACACATCCATCCATCTGTCCATGCCATGAAACACAGCTGCCCTGCCCCCTCTCCCATCCCATAGCCCCCTTACTTGTCCTGCACCGAGGGCACATAGGGCAGGGGCACCTCGACGCTCCTCCCCCCACAGTCGATGGTCATGGACGGGCCGCCCATGTCGAACGCTGGTGGCGCGTGGAAGCCAGCGTTGTGCCGCGACCCAAGGGAAGACACCCATCGCTCGGGCGGCTTGTGTGTGGTGTTGTTGGTGGTCGTGTGGGTGGCGGGGGTGGGCGATGTGGCGAAGGGCGACTGGGGCGCCTGCAGGTTCGGCAGCACTGGGGGGTTGCTGTGGGTGTTTGGGTGGGTGGACACAGAGAGGCAAAGAGGAGAGGGCGTATGTGGTATCGTGTGTTGGTGTGTGTGATCCACCCACCGTGTTTGCAGGAAGAAGATGAGCAGCAGAATGTAGGCGTACGACGACAGCGTCCTGATAAATAATGAGAACAAGATGATGACACGCCCCTCGCCACAAAGGCAGACATGTATGTGTGTGTGGTGTGTGTGTGCCCACCTACCCCTGGTGTGCGTCGTTGACATTGCGAGCCTTGCTCCACAGCTTGACCAGCTGCCCCAGCGGCAGCACCCGCGGGTCGCACTCGGCGTACGCTCGCAGAAGGGCGCTGTTGATGGGGCCCAGCTGGTTGTTGAACGACACGTCTATGCACACCAAATCACCCATGTGGTCGGAACGAACCCCGCGCTGATAGATAGACCCATGGGATGGGCAACAAACACATGGGTGTGGTGTTGTGTGGTGGTCAATTGCTTACGAGGAAGACCAGCTTCAGTATGGGGACTCTGGCGTCGATGACCTCCGCTCGGTACTCATGCGGATGCACCTAAATGACACACACACATACACACATACAACAAACACAGACACAGACACACTCCCATCGCACCATGCCATGCAGCACCCCTCTCTCTCTGTCTCTCTCTCTTGCAACACGCATACATACCTCTCGTAGCACCCGCTGCAGCTGCTCGATGGCCTCCATGTCGACCTCTCTATCGTACCCCTCCTCGCCCCCCTCCCCCATGGGCAGCACCCCCCCTATCACACTCGCCTCCCGCCTCTTCTGCAGCCGCCGCTTCACCTCGGGGTGCAGCTGCACACACACGTCCACGTCACTCGTCTTCAGAGCGAACCCCGAGGCAAGCGACCCCAAAAGGTCCAGCTTGGCCACGGGCTGCTGCGAGGTGGGGTCGGTGAGGAAGGGTGCGAACGCCATGTCAACCACTTCCGCCAGACGAGTGAGCGCCTGAATAAACAAACAAACAAGGCAGATAGATACACAGAGATATACAGGGTTTGCAGGTCTGTGTGTGTGGTTTAGGTGTAGGTGTATGTGTATGCGGGTGTGGTGTGTGCGTACGTCTGTCCAGGCGTGGACGTCGGCGGTGTTGGGTGCCATCTCGCCGAGCAGGTTGTTGAGCTGCCGCTCTATCCGCTGCGTGTCCACCTGACCCGCAGGCGACACCCGCAGCGGCAGGGGCTCCAACTCACGCATACCGCCGCCAACGAAGGGGTGATTCTCCTGGTATACCAACACAACACAACACACCACACCCATTCCGGTCTCTCCCACCCACCTTGATGGACACGTGCCTGCCCTCATGTGCCTACCATGTAGAGGACGCTCATGAGGGAGAAGATGCGGTTGTGTGCGATGTCAGGCAGGTGCGACCGCCGCGGCTGGTGGGGCCGCGCAGAGCCACGCATGAGGTCGTACACCAGACGGAACAGTCGCACGTGGTAACGCCGCTCGACGTCACAGAGGCAGATGAGGCTCTCCAGCACCTTGAGCAGCGCCATCGACATGCCCTGGGGCCGCTTGCGGTCGGGCATCTGACACACGGAGAGGCGGGGAGAGGTGTGCTGTGGTGTGTTTATGTGTGCTTTGTCGGTGGTCGTCAGTCACCCACCATTTTGTCGTGTTGGATGAATGCTTCGAGTAGCTCTATGACGAAGTCGCCCATGCTCCTGGTGTAGAGGTGCTTCATGCGCGCCGTGACGTCACCTATACCTGCACCGCACACAACCACATACACACACACACACATACGGACAGAGGAAGGTCAGCCTTTCCGCCCTCTCTTCACTTCACTCAGCTCTGTCTGTACAGTACGTTGTGCTGCTCACTCACCGACTAAGGTAGATTCGATTTCGCTCATCTTCTCCGCGACGGCCCGCCTATCATCACCCATGGCCAGCACCGCCGCCCGCCGCTGCCGCAACGCCGCGAGCAGCCGGGCGAAGAAGCTATCCACCTCCGACGCATCTATATGCTCCAGCATCTCCACTATGTCCATCGCCGCGCGCCCGTTGCCGTCCGTCTGTCCGAAGGCCACCATCGCAGTCGTCGAATCGGCCGACTCCACCCAATTGCGCGGGCTGTCAGTGTTGAAGGCTACGCTCGGGCGGTACGACTGCAGTGTCCTCTCGCGGTGGTGCACCGCCGCCCTCTCATCAACCTCATCCAACTCTTGGTACTCTTGGTACATGGCCGGCCGCCAAGAAATGCCGAATCGGATGGCTGGGAGGTCTCAGAAGGGCCAGGCAGGTGCAGAGAGGCGAAAAGAGCTATGCCGACGGATCTGGACTTGTGCAATAGTCAGTCACGGATCTTGCACCGGAAACAGAGGTTAAAAGGACGAAGCGGTGGAAGGTGGCTCAAGGCAAACCATAACATGGTGCTGCTAAGCTGCCTCATTGCCTCGTTTCCTCATTCCATCGCGAGCTTTTTTGCGAGCTGATGAGGAGGAGTGTTCAGCGCAGGCCACCCGTGGCTTTGCAGGACCTGCAGCCTGCTTAATCGACTGCTGAGGCAATGCAGCTTTCTCCTCGGCTTCAGTGAAGCTTCAGTGAAAGTGTTGCAGCCCATGCTGGGTGACCGCTAGACTCACTGGACCTCAGAGGGTGCACAGGGGGTCTTGCAGACGACCTCGCGTGCTGATCCATCATCTGCCGTCCTCTCTGGGCGACTTGGAAGCTTGTTCACTGCGGAGTAGGCTGAGGATGCCGCTAGTGTGGTTCGTTAGCGACCCGCTGGGCATCTGCTTCATCGTACTGGTACGCAACACGATGGATGGCAGGTGCGCACATGTGCCGTATTATTGTGTGTTGTGTATCGGATGCATCGTGGTGCTGTGGTGCAGACGTGGGTGTTGATGGCGTTTGGTGACTGGGTGGTGATCAAGTACACCTTCCACGGGTGGTTCGCATCAGATGACCCCATGCTGCCGGGTAGGTGGAGAGGTAGGGAGGCGCGAACGAACCGCGGCTGGCTTGATCTGTCTGTCGACAGACCATCTATCTCATTCGTGCTTGGCTTGCTCTCCATGTGTTGTGTGTGTCTGTGCGTGGCCACGTCAGGCATTCCTTTTGACATTGTGGGGACGATCCTGTTCTTTTTCTACCAAGCCTTGCTGGTGTTCGCGGTTCTGGCACACCTACAAGCCATCTTCTGCGACCCTGGCAGCCCTAACAAATATCCAGTAAGCAAAGCAGCCAACGAAGAGAGAGTGAGTGACCCCTGCCTGGTCAGCTGCGCTCATGGGATGGATGGGCACGTGTGCGTGTGTGTTTGCTTCATTCAGAGGCTGGCTCCGTTTCCCTTATCGCACGGCCCGCAGGCCCGCATCTGTCACAAGTGCAACAACCACTGGAAGCCACCAAGGGCACACCACTGCAAAACCTGCAAAATGTGGGCGTGGGCGCAACGCACAAGCTTGTGGGAGCGGTGTAATGATGGGTACGCCTCCCTCTGTGTGCGTGCGTGTGTGTGCAGGTGTATATTTCGGATGGATCACCACTGCCCGTGGATCAACAACTGCGTGGGCCTCTACAACCAGAAGATGTTCATCCTCTTCCTCTTCTACACCGGTCGGTTAGCAGGCAGGCAACACAAACACAAACACACCACACACAGAGAGCCCATCCATCCATCCATCCATCGCTTTAGTTACTATGGTTGCATGTCTGTCTGTCTGTCTGTCTGTGTGTCTGTCTATGTGTGCAGCGCTGTTCAGCCTGTCGTCGGTGCTGCTGTTGATGCTGGGGGCCTTCTGGTGGTTTCGTCACTCCAAGAACCCAGTATGGCTGGGAGACACTGCCAATCTCACGGCAGGAGTAGAGGTCTCTCTCCCCTGCCATACCTGACATGAATGAGTCTAGGCGACAACCACCTTCATCTGCTGCTGTCTGCTCTCGTGGCTGTGGCTGTTGATATATGTCCCTCCCGCAGGCCAGTGAGTGGGCCCTTGCCTTCGGCTGCTTTGCGGCGCTTGAAGGGGTCTTCTTTCTCTTCTTCACTCTCGTGAGCTAATGGCTGGCTGCAGAGGGAGGGATGACTGACGCACGATGGATGCCCACACATCACTGTTCGTTCGGTGTTCTTGGCGCAGGACTTTCTGAGTGAGCAGATAGAGGCCATCGACTCCAACTCCACATTGGTCGAGACCTACAAGAGGACACACGGCAGACAAGTAGGAGAAGGAGGGAGGGACGGAGGGAGAGAGGGATGGAACACGTCTGTCAATCAGTCCATGTGGAGTGGAGTGTATCAGTGCCGTTGTCTGTGTGTGCGCCTCTTTGCAGCGCACGTTTCTTTTGCACTTGACTGAGGTGTTTGGCCGCAACTGGGTCATGTGGCCCTTCCCCATCCCCGCAGATATCAAACCGCAATTTGACGGTGAGAGAGAGACACAAACAAACAAACAAACCCGACCCTTTTCGTGCCACCCACCGCATCTCTTGTCTTGGTCGTCAGAGCCGGCCATCCCCGACGGCCAAGACGAACGTTTCCTGGAGATGTACGGCCCCCAGCCCCTCCCAGACATCATCCCACAGGCTGAGACCGACATGGCTGCCGACGGCAATAATAACATCAATGGGCCAGTCGGCAACCACCATCCCAACAACCCCCACTCCCACCCTCCCCCACAATGCGAGCCAGCGGAGAGCTCGACGGCCATCGGTGGCTACCGCTATGGCTCGTCCGAGGACAGCATCAGCGGCAGTGGCGGGTCAGAGGGGCCGTCGCCCATGAACGGCGGGGGGCATCGCAGGCACCGCACAGCGAGAGACAACGAGGGAGAGGGAGAGGGCGAGGGCGACGAGGAATACGACAACGGCGAGGAAGAGGAGGAGGAAGACGAAGAGGAGCTGGAGGACTCTGTGGATGGAGAGGAGGGGCGCTCGGGTAGGTATAACCTGAGGTACTCGGATGACGACCCCGACAATCATGACGACCACAGAGGGGGGGAGGGGGGCGGACAGGGCCATGGCAGGGGGAGGGGAGGTGACGGCGATGGGCATGATGCCAATACATCGGGCATCAGGCAGCGACGGCGCGGCCAGGGCGGAGGTGATGATGGCTCATCACGAGGGCAGCACACCCACGCTCAGTCTCACTCTCACTCTTCGTCCCGCCGCCTCTATCCGTCTCTCAACGGCCCGCCAGTGTCGATGGCGAGGGTACCCCTCCCCAACCAGCACGGCGACAAGGCCAGGACTGCCACTGGGGCGATGAACAATCCCTACGACCATCGCCTGCCAGCCGCCGACTCGTATTCCCGCCCCCGGTCCGCAGACCTGCCTTTGCTGGACAGAGACGACGACGAGGGGTTTGTGCCATCTCCCTCTCGTTCGGGCGCCAGTGTCATCGACACCGACCGGGTGTACATCAAGAGGGAGCCTGTCGACCCCGATGACGAGACGGAGCCGGACATGGTGGACAGGAGGCCCATTGCTGAGGCGTCGCAGCTGTATGGTGGTGCGGCTGGCAGGAGGCGGCATGATGCGAGCGAGGCCGATGACGACGACTACACCGATGGTGGCACTTTGAAGTCGGTCAAGAAGATCAAGGAAGAGCCTATGGATGACGATTTGATGACCTACAGGGCCATCAATGGAAGGCTAGAGGAGGAGTCTCGAGACTGACTTCTGCGGGTGGGTGTACACAGAGTGAGTGCCTAAGGGATGAATCAATGAATGGTGGGCAGAGACAGCTGTAGCGCCCCTGCACCATAGTTAAGAGAGGAAGGGGTTATCACGGAGAGGGAGGGAGGGATGCTTTCGGCGGGGGGCGGGGCTTCCTGTACGTCTTAACGCCCGTTCTTCTGTCAGTGTCTTTATGGGCACTCTGAGACGACGATGTGTGCGTGCGTGTGTTAGTGCATGGCATGCACATACCTGAGGTGCGTGTACATGTGGATGGGCGATTGACTAACTGTCAGTCAGCATACGATGGATGGCACCAGACCGGCGTGTGCGCACTGTTGCAATGATTTGAATCTAAAACAGGCTCGTTTATCATCATTCCTTTTCGGCAAGAATGCTTAGCGTCACCTGCCTGACCATTGTCCTGTCCTCACAAAGGCAGGGAAGCTGCCGCAGCTTTTCTTGCGGATCGCTTCTGCGAGCTTAGCAGGAAGAGCTGATCCGTTCTTCTCTCATCATGGCTATGCGCTTTGTTCTTGTCTTGCTGCTCGGCGTGGCGTCAGTGCTGTGTGCCCGACTGCAAGGATCTCAGCTCAATGAAGGACAGGTGATGAATGAGCTTTCAGATCTGCCAAGCTGAGGCATTGATCCATCCATTCAGGTACTCACCGTCGCTCCTCGCGACTCAGACCGGTTCGACACCAAGGCAGTCGCTGCGCCGCGAGTGTTCTTCGACAGCAGGAGGGTCCTGTGGGTCATGTACTACTACGGCAAGAGCTTCAAGTTCATCGAAAAGCATCCGGATGTAACACCGCTTCCCACCGGCTACGTCGGCCTGGCAGAGTCAGCTGACGGCATCGCTTGGCGGCGGCTGGATGGGCCCGGGGAGGGCGGCAGTGTGCTTGCGCCGGCAACGAAGAAGGGAGCATGGGACAGCGCTCATGTGGGCGTCGGCGACGTCATGGTACGCAAGCATGCACAGTGACTGACTGACGCAGTGGATGCATCCACTGCACTGCTCTCACTTGTTGTCTGTCTTCTGTGTGTCAGCTATCTGATGACGGCAAGTCGAAGTATACCATGTATTATTTCGGTGGCAGCCTCAATGACGGCCTCCCCTCGCCAAGCAACGCATCCAACACGATCTGCGGCTTCCCTCTCCGCATCGGCGTTGCCACATCGACAGATGGCCTCAACTGGCGAAGAGCAAGGAAGCCGCTGTTGGAGCTGGCTCCATCAGAGAAAGGCTGGAGCGGCGAGGGCTGGCCACAGTTTGTGCAGCTGAACGAGACCACATCTCTTCTCTACTATCACTCACAGGCCAACTTCAGCGCACCTTTCGTTGTCACTGCGGCCATCCACCAAGGCAAGAGAGGGAAATGGAAGAGGCTCGACTATCCCCTGCTCGGCGCGGGACCGGAGGGCACGTATTACAGCAGGGGGGTGGGGACGAGATGGGTCGTGGCCAACCCCAACTACAACGCATCGTCACCCGCTGCCAACTTGAGCGATGCCGGCCGGGCCCTGACACTCTCCACATCTCAATGGTGGATGTTTGGCGAGAGCGTCGCGCCATCACCCAACGAGCACACCATCTCTCTCTTCGGCTCTCGTGACGGCTTCTCCTGGGGGAGCCTCTACACGCTGCCCGTGTTGATGCCCCGCATAGGCGTCAAGGGGGCGGCCGACTCGCGGTTCGTGGGGACGCCGAACGCCGTGGTGCGCAATGAGGGGAAGGAGGTGTGGCTGTACTATGTGGCCGTGCGGCAGGGTGAGGCGGAGGACCCCTTTGATGTCAAGGAGACGCCCTTCAGCATTGGGCTGGCGATATGCAAGATTGACGGTGACAAGATTGATTGCGAGCGGGTGCCGTCACCGCTTGTGCCGCAGACCGAGTGAAGCCTGTGTGTCTGATGATATTTAAGGTCTCATAAGGCAGTGAGTGGATGTGTTGTAGGTGACACGACCCGCTGTCCTGCAGTTTGGCTCGAAAGCTTAGTTAGGCCATGGACATGACAGTCTCTCTACCCACTCACTGTCTCGTATATGTATGCGCATAGCATAGCCCGACTTTGTTAGTGAAGCATTGCATGCGGACAAATAAACACCCGCTGGCTGGCTGCATGGAAGCGTACGCACGCGCACGTGGACAAGTGGCTGCTCTCTACCTAAGAGCCTATTCCCTGCCATTCACAATCCCCGCTGAGCAGAGAAAATGCCATGATGCCCCAATCGCCCACCCGTCAAGCAGAAATTGTCACCAATCATCACGAGAAAAACACCACTGCACACACCACACCCACAGGCACACCACAAGTCGTCCACAGGTGTGTGTGTTGGCTCCTTCTGATGCTCCGCTTACATTTGGTAGGGGACAGTGGTTTGCCGCCCTTTTTGTCAAACCTGTTGTCGAAAACGAACCCACTCCCATCGTGTCTCGGTGTGGCATTGACTATCTGCATCATGGCCACTGTGGCGCCGCTGCCCCGCCTCCCACTGTGGTTGTCCGCCTGACGGGACGGCACTGCACGGGGAGTCGTGCCGAAATCAAGCTGAATCAAGGACAGACAGGTTACGTGTAGTATGCAGCTGTCTCCTTCCCGTACGCATGTCTCTGTGCGGCTAACATACCAGTGGGGGCAGGGCGTTGAATCGTCCAGTGCCAGGACAACTTTTGGCAAAATCCTGCAAGCAACATCGCGAGCAAAGAGGAAGGTTTGGTTATTGTGTTCGGTATATATCTTCCATGGATGAGCTTACGCCATCTCTGGGAGTCTGTGCGTATGGTGAGGTGGCGATCTTGAGAGGTGGCAGAGGCACAATGCTGCCACGAGGACTCCGCGTCACCGCACGGCCAGGGCCCTTCCTGCAGGGGCTGCAGCCCTTGGGGCTCTCGGCCACGTCCTGTTGTCTCCTCTGTTCTGTCCTGTGTATGGCGTCGGCTGCCGGCCAGTGTCCTGCTGTGGCGTAGGGGGTCCTGAAGGTGCGGTAGGGGGGCGGGCCGTAGATGGCGGTGATGCGATCCAGTCCAGCATACGGGCCCTTCATGCGAAACTGCACACACACAGGGGAGACACGAACGAACGTGTCGCATGCTGACGAGCATTCCTTGCTTTCTCTCTGTCGCTGTACACGGCCTGTGGTAGCCCTTAACCGGGCACGCGGCGACGCCTTCTCGTCTTGCTCTTTCGTCTTCCTGTCTCCCTCATGTGTCTCTTCATCCACCTGCGGCGGGGGTCTCTTATCTTCGGTGCTGATCCGCAGCCTCCTGGTGCGAAGGGTAGTCGATGGAGGCTTCCTGGAGGGGGCAGGGGGAGGCGGAGGGGATGTGGGGGGTTGTATCGCCTTGAGGCTGGCTTCTTTGCTCTCGTCACGGGTGCGCTTGGTCGCCTTGGCTTGGGCAACACGTGAGCTGCATGAGAAACGCACACACCAAGAGACGTGACACATCCACTCCTGCCTGTCTCTTGTGATAGCGTCAATTACTCTCGCAGACCTTGTGCGAGGGCTCCGTGTCGGGGAGACTGGCAGCAGCTGTGAGAAGGAGGTCGATCGGTCCCGTGACAGGACTCTTTGAACCGATTTCTTCGATAGCTTGATGCCATGGTCCACCAAGGCACTTTTCCTTGTCTTGTGCCCTCGCCAGTGCGCCTGCACCTTGGTTGCGGCACAGGCCAAGTCCTCTTCCTCCCTCTGCTGATGCTGTCTCGGTTTGTTTGCCGTAGACATAGATCTGCGTGTGTTGTAGCCTCTCCAATGCGCCTGCAGCCGTGTGGCGGCCAAGTGCTTCCTGGCTGTGGCGGCTTCCTTTGCCAGTTCTGCATCGGCCTCAGAGACCGGCATTGGCCCTTCCACAATCACATCTTCCACATCGTCCATATCTGCCACGTCTGCCTTCTCGTCGAGGGCAGGTTGTTGGTGCTTCTGTGTCTCCTGTTCCGCATCGATCGCCTTTATCGCGGCTGGAGGGATATCTGCAGCTTCTTGACCTTTCTCTCCTCTGATGCCGCCAGCATCCTCACCCATGCCGCTCTCCTTCGGGGGTTCCACAGCAACAGACGGACCAGCCGCTCTTTCCTCTTTGGCTTCCTGGTCGACCGTGACTTGTACCGAAGCCTCCTCACGTCCACGTCTCGCAGCTTTTCTCGCTTGGTGTCCCCGCCACTGTGCCTGCAGCCTCGTGACCGCTCTGTCGGGATCGATAGAGATGTTGTCCGCGGCAGCAGATAGCATGGTGGTATGCTCAGTTTGCTCAGCTGCAGTGACGGCAAGGTCAGGCTGATGAGTCTCGAAAGGATGAGTGTTCTCTCCCTCGTGCTCGGTGTGCCCCTCATCTGCCCCTGGCTGCTCCCGATACACTCTCCTGAGTCTCCTCTCTGCCGTGTGTCTCCTTGATTGGTGTCCCCTCCAGTGTGATTGCAGTAGGGTTGCAGCTGCTTGTTGGGGGTCGTCCTTGTTTTCGTCCTCCGGAGCTGTTTCTTCTGTGTCAATGGTGGCGGCCTCCCCCTGGCGTTGTGTCAACGGCTCAACCCCTTGATTCTCATCTGCAGTGATGCGGGCATGTGCTAATGGATATATGCAAAACAGATGTGCTGTCTGGCCTGCCTTACTGCTCTCTGCATGTCCAGCCTCCGCATCTCCTTCCATCGTGTCTGCCGCAGGGCCGGTTGGCCCGACCGCACCGTCCTCGACAGCTCCCGATTCCTCTTGCTCACGCATGGGCGGCGCACCGCCGCCCTTTCCATCCTCTTCCCGGACCACCTCTCTCTTGGAATTGTGACCCCCGCCTGTCCACATAAACAGAGCAATTTGATGTATGGGGCTCCATACATCCCATTTCGCTTATGCGTGACCAGTTTCCCCCGTGTCTTGCTCTGGCTCCGCCTGAGGCGGCGTCATTCTAACAGTTTCGTCGACAGTGGCCTCGCCCTCTGGCTCATCAACGGCTTCCGCCTCTCCACCACAAGCCGCCTGTTCATCGTGGTTCTGCATGTTGCTGTCACCTGAGTGGTATTGAGTGGGAATTGCGTGGGGGCCCCTGGGGGCCGCGACAAGACAACAACCGCCAGCTCGCCTTCCGTTCGCCAGGGTTTGCAGTCCCCCATGACAAGTCTGGCCTCAGTACTATGTCCTGCTGCCGCTGTCTGGTGCTGCCGTCCCTGCAATGCCGCAAGAACATCAAGTACAGGAGAGGCAACTTCGACAGCGACGACGAGTCAGTGGATGGCGAAGCGCCATCAGCCCGTGATGACCATCATGATGACGCTCCACCGGAGGGGACGGAGGACGTCGGGCGCGTGAGGAGGGGGCTGGTGACGGCCGGGGACCAGTCTGACCCGGTTTACCTCTGGCACAACACTGCAGATGACCTCATTCAGACCGACTTTGCAAATCTACAACACGCTCTCTCGGGCCTGGAAAGGCAATGTGAGCGCAAGAGGATAAACGCACTGCTGCGCCGCTGCATTCTGCATCTGTGTGTTTGTCTGCAGTGATAGCCCATTCCATCGCCAGCAACGAGTTGACGGTCCCCGACGCATCAGCTCAGGACACACAGACACCCGAAGCCAACGCGGCTCGTACGATCCGGGAACTGGTACGGCAGCGCGTCGTCACCCAAGGGCAGACAAGGGCCTCGCACAGCTGCAGAGGACCTACCGGTGGCCAACTTTGACATGTACTTCCGCAGCCTGGAGCTGTGTGCCATTTTGTGCGATCCGGCCATGATGGGCTGTCCCATCGTGGCTGTCTCGACCAAAGTGCGCACAGACACACAACACGGAAGAAACACAGCGTGTTGTTGTCTCTCTGTCAACAGTTTTGCAATCTCACCGGCTGGACACCATGGGAGTTGCTCGGGAATCCCCCGCAGATTCTCTTAAGGGAAGAGCGGGATGCGTCGGTGTGCCACAGGATCACGGAGCACCTGGGGCGGCTCAACAAGCGCTACGGTGGTGTCTCTGATCGCCACCTCCAGTCCTACCACGACAAGAAGGCACTTTTGTTTCGAAACTCTTCCCTGTCTCTTGAGGGGCTGGACGATGTGCCGGCTGCCGTTGGTCGTGTCGCGGGTCAGGGGACTCATATCCACCACGCCAGCTGGATGGACGACAGCACCGATCTGCTCATTGAGGTCAACGCGGCACGCAAATACGGTCAGTCAGTGAGACATACATGATATGATGCATTCATTCATGTGTGTACCTGACTGCAGATGCCCCGTTCTGTGCGGCCCTGTACATGACGGTGTTGTTCTTGGGGAACAGCCCCTATATCCTGGTCATTGTGACGGACATCACTCGTCTGCATGGGTGGCTCGATTTGTCCCACGCGAACCATCGCAACTGCTTCCTTTCGTCCCTCTACACCTTCTTCGAGGAGGGAGACATCGAGATGCAGCTCTGTGTGCCGGTGGATCCTCGATCATGGCCGCACCAGAGGGCCTATAGGCGGTACAGCAGCCACGCACATGTGAAAAGGTGTGCAGACACGTACATGCATCCGATCGACTCTAGCGCAGCGGCCAAGCCAAAACGGTTTCTCCTTCCTGTAAATGACAGGTCGCCCTCACTCCGGCCGGACGTGGCTGGCAAGATGCCGATGCCCGACAAGCCCCTCTCTGCAGCGGATATTGTCGAGCAGCCCAGGGGCATCCTGCAGACACAGGGAGATCGGGAGCGAGTAAACGCCAGGAGATTGTACAGGAAACAGGTAGTTAGGCCTGGTGGGTGGGACGCAATGCAATCGAGTGTGCGCCTACTGAATGTGTCCGCAGAGCACATTGAGGGGGATTCAATGGGAGGCCGAGGTAGAGGAGAGGCGCTTTACTGTCGTGGGATCGGCCGACAATGAGACCGATAACACGTATCCGCCCACACAGCCGAGTAGACAAGCCAGCCCGCATGACAGTAGAGAGGCTGAGCTAAAACGGCTGGAGCAGATGTTTGCCCATACGTGTCAGCAGATGGCTGCCTTGATCCAACAGCAGCAGCTGCAGGGGGGAGGGGGCGTGTCCTTCGGTGTGTCTCCACATCAGCCAGCAGGAGCTGGCGTGAATGGCATCATTCCACGGTGAGAAGGAGAATCCATACCTGCATGCAGACGATCTGTACGCCTGTGTGCACAAGAGCTTCATGGAAGAAGCGCTGTGTCCGCGAACACGTGTTTTTGGTCATTTTATCGAGGAATGGAAAACACGGTAGGGAAGGGCAAAGCTAAGTGCGTACAGACGACCGGCATGTCTGTTCCTGTCGTGTGCCCTCTGTGGCGTCGCTCTTTTCTGCATACTACGCGAGCGCAGTGTGGCTCGCTTCATCTATCGACTTGTTGCTCTTGCCAGTGATGGTTGTATCGAACACGAATCGTGTTCACCCCGCTTCACTCAGGTCAATGTCCGTCCACTCACCCATTCATGAATCAGATCCAAGGGGAGAGAGGGGGGCACCACACACACACGCGAAAGAGGGAGGGAGGTCGGGGGAAAGGATAGAAGACACGTGCCTATACACTAACGGCAGAGGGTAGTACTGTACGAGGCATCTCATCTAAGTATGAACACTGAACACAGGCGCCGTGTCACACAGGCGCCAGGCACCAACCAGCATCAGACACCACACCCGAGACAGCGGGCTCGTGAGTGTACGAAGGCGCACGCAATCCACCGCACCGGCAGAACCCAACACCACCAGCAGCACTCAAAAAGGACCAGCAGCAGCAGCAGCAGCATAAGCCAGGCATCCCCACTGGCACTTCTTCTCTTCATGGCCTCTTCTCATCCACGGGTCCCATGGCATCGAGTTCTCCGCTGTCCTCCTTGATGGTCTCGTACTGCGCTCTCAGCTTCTCAAGCTCTGTCATGAAGTTCTGATAGCCTGCCGTCCTTGTTCGTGTTGTCTTCCTGCACACACAAGACAAGCCATCCACCCATGCATGCGTTGCACACGTCTGTTTCAGGCTGGTTCTTCCTTGCCTTTCTTCGCCCCGTTCGACGGCTGGCTGTGTGGGCGGAGCGGCGTGCTCGACAGCAGGGGGCACCTCTGAGAGCCACACGGACATAGACAGGGGGGCGGGGGCATATATTGCGGCTTCCTACGTTTCTGGCGCTCACTTAGGGATGAGTCGCGTTCTTCCCTGTGTGCGCCATCGGTCTCCTTCTGCTTCTTGACAGCAAGAGACGCCAGGCGGCCCTGCTTCCTGTGCTTGTACTCTGCACAGCGCACCCGCATTGCAGATGCCGGAAGCTTCCAGCAGCCACCCACCCCCATATGTGGACAGAAGGCTGACCTTCGTCAAGCTCCTCTTGCAGTTTGTCGATTTGGTTGTGTTGTGGCGGGTGCGGCACCTGCTGCTTGACCATCTCGTCGTGCTTCTTCTTGACGTCGATGGTCGCCAGCCGGCCCTTACGGCGCACATCCTGGGGAATCGGCTCTAGCAACACCGGCATTGCCGTCGGCTGTGTCATCTCTGCAAAACCATGGGAGACAGACGCAACACCACCATGACATCGCAACACAACCATGACATGTCTCCCTTTGTCTGTTGGTTGTGTTGTATGGGACTTTCATACCTTTGATCCATTTGTGTCTGGCGGCTTCTTCGGCAGTGGGTCGGTGCCGTGGCTTCTTGGTGAGCAGTTTCTTGAGGAGGTCGAGCGCGCCCTCACTGGGGTTGTATCCCGCCCGCTGCGCCACCTTCTTGAAGTCGGGCTGGTGCTCCACTATCCTCTGCCACAAAGCCTCCTCGTTGGCAGCCGCAAAGGGCATCTCGCCAAACAGCATCATGAACAATATCACACCACACGCCCAAATGTCGACCTTGCTGGGGGCAGGCGAGACACAGACATGAGTGTCTTGAGAATGGTCTGGGGGCCCCTGCGCTGCGTACCTTCCGTATTTGCCGAGTATCATCTCAGGTGCGACAAATTCGGGGGTGCCGCAGGGGTCGTCGAGCATCTCGCCCTTCGGCATCTTGTACGACAGACTGAAGACAGAAAGGAGTCACAGCCGAGATATCTGTGTCTTTATCCGCTGCCTTGCTACCCGAAGTCGATCATTTTGACCACGTTGCTGCCCTTGGCTGCAAAGAGAAGATTCTGAGGCTTCAGATCCCTGTCAGTCAGTCGCCAGCCCAGCAGACAGCCACATGGCACGTACAGTTCCGTGACCCGCCCGTATCTATCTGTTACCCACCTGTGTACGATGCCCACTTTGTGAATGTATGCGCATGCGGTGAGCATCTGCCTCATGATGTCGGCGATCTCCATCTCTGTCAACGGCTGCGGCGACGCCAACGTGTCGAACAACTCACCACCACTTGAAGCACACGGAGGGAAACAGACAGACAGAGACACGTACTCATGTGCTCCGTGCTGTATTGTATACCTGAGGTTCTCCATGACCTGGGTAAGCGACAAATGACAGCAGCCGATAAGACAGACACCTTTGTTCTCGTGTTGAGAGAGACAGGCGTGGTTCTGTAACCTACCGAGTAGTAGAAGTAGTTGTCTTCGTAATGCTGGTAGAACCTGACGATGTTGTCACACCCGCCATTGCACACCTCCTCCATGATCGCTATCTCGGTCTCGAAGTCCTGCCTCGGATACGGCTTGTGCAGCAACTTGACACACCGCTTCTCGCCCGTCTTCTTGTGCGTGCACAGACGCACTTGCGCGAACGCCTGTGAATGCATTGCATACCATTGGAGAGAAGAGAAAGCACAGAAATGGGCGGACAAGGGCAAGGAATGCCAGCATTGCATTGTCGTATGTGTGTACCCCCTCTCCGATCTTCTGGCCCAGGATGTACTCATCCCTCAGGCCGCCCTCGCTTGTACAGCTCAGCCGACACCCCATGACTTACAAACCTCACACCATGAAATCAAGCAATTGAGGCGCCCCGAGGTGTCGTTAGTGGTCAGAAGATCGGCATGCAGTGTAGCTCGCAGTCTCGCCCCCAGCGTGCCCCCAGTCTTCCAAACAAATTGACAAATTGAAGGATTCTACGGTTACAGTTCGTTTGCTGTGCACTTTCGTCTCCTTTCTGCCGCATTTTCCTGGCTGACCGCGTGTCGGCCTCGTCGAAAGAGTCAACTCTTCTCATTCATTTGGTCCTCAAAGCGACGGCGGGTGTGCACATGTTGGAGGTCCTCCGCAGACCCACGGGCTGCTACTTCCGCTCCACCAGACACCTCACCAAAGAGGTAAGGAAGCCGGCAGGGGTGAATCGTGGTCCGACTCGTTCTGCGTGGCTGCCGCTGTGCTGTCCCCGTTTCCCCGTTGCAGCGTGCGATTGTAAGTGTTGACAACAAGATGCAGGTCCTCACCATTGCGAGCGAGAAGCGAGGCGACCCCATCAAAAGTAACACACGCAAACACACGTGCAGTGTCATTCTGGTTGTGTGCCATGGTTTTTCTGTTTGTATGTATGCGTGGTGCAGTCGTCATCAGCAAGATCAGTCGTCTGCAGGCGCAGCTCTACACGGATTTGCATGCCGAGGAGGCCGGCCTGCCGGTGCTGGTCATAGGCCACCCGCCCTCGGCCTTTCCGGACCCTTCCTCGCCTATGGCCGGCGGTGGATCTCCCGGGAGTGGCCACGGCAGACCGGCACTCACCCTGCTGGAGTTCAGAGACGAAAGAGAGCGAGACAACTGGTACACATACACACACAGAGAGGGAGAAGCGGCCTGTCTCCTCTGTCTGTCTGGTTCTATCTGTTTATTAGGGAGAGTGCGCTTCGTTCGTTGCTGGAGAGTGTGGCCTCCCCCACAGCATCTGGGCACTACCATCCTGTGTCGCTGGACAAGGCAGCCGAGCGGGTGGTGCTGCAGCCGATCACCAGCCTCCAATACCTGCCGGCCAACGACCCCAGGGCTGGGCCGAACCTTGTGCAGCTGGAGGTGGGCCTGGGCAGCGACCAGCAGTACCGCACGGCTGTGCTGACCATCCAGCCGCACGAGACCAGCGGCACCAAATGCAAACGCGTGAGTGAGCGAGAGGGAGAGAGATTGGGGATGACGGGTGCTTGTACATGTGTGTGAGTGTGTCCGTGTGTCAGAGGGTGGTCGAGTTTGTGGAGGAGAATGGAGTGAATGAGAATGAGCTGGTGCCCCTCTACAGATACGTCAGAATGCTGGTCCAGGTTTGTCCGCACGGACAGCCAGCCCTTCGACACACACACCAGAGCTGCGTATGTCATGGCTGTGCACGTGCAGCGTGCTATGGTCGAGCGCGAGACGCCGCGGATGCTGCAGACTCTGAGGGAGAACAGCTTCATGAGGAGACGCCAGGAGCGGGAGGCACAGGATCGCACTTTCACAAGTATACACACACACACACACACAGAGCGCCACGTCATGTCTCACGCCTCCTGTGTGGTTCTGTGGATGCCACTACTGCGACAGTTCGCGACGACAGGCAGCTGCTGCGCTACTGCAATGCCAACCTGGACCGACTCAAGGCCGAGATACCCATCATAGTATGTGACTCAGGCAGGCCGTCACACCACACACAAACATGTGTGCGTCTGGATGGATGGATGGATGCAGTTTTCTGGTGGCGCCGGGCGGATCAACGTCGACGAGCACGGCGTCATTAACACTTGCATTGCCGAGGTAGGCGAATGAGGCAGGCACAGCACAGCGGCCGGCAAACAGGCACCCCAACGAGTCTTCTGCTCGCCATTGTGTGTGCAGTCGATGCTGCGCAGCATCAAGATGAAGAAGGCGCTCAACGAACGCCAGTTCAGGTGTGCCATTTACTCACCGACCCACCCAGAGACACACACGTGTTCATGCAGTCGAGAAGCGGAGAGGGATCCCCCTATGTGTGAAGAGAAGAACCTTGCTGAACAGTATATATGTGTCTCTGCATGCGCTGAATGGTATCGCATGGCATGGGGTAAGAGTGCTCATGGCTGTCAATCGCACCAACATATCGCATCCATGAATCGCATTCACGGACCTGCATCTGTTAAATGTCTTTGCGGCACTCCGATAGATAAACCCACAGGCAGGCAGGCAGGCACTAAGCAAGGTAGGTAGAGAACTGTCCGGACACACGAAAAAGGCTCAGGCTCATATAGATATACTACACACACACACACACGTGCAGCTACTCACATCCATCCATCCACCCACACATCCACCCACACATCCACACACTACCTGTCACCTGCCTGCCACACCAGTTGGGTCCCGGCGGCTCAGTCAGTCGATGTCCGACATGCCGCCCTCTCCTGTGGCCTCTGTGCCATCGTCCCCCTTGTCCTTCCTCTCTGCAGTGTCAGTGCCGGCCTCCTTCTGCTTCTCCTGCACCTTCTCACTGCGCCTGTGCGGCGGGGTCATCTTCTTGCACAACAGGGCATAGAGCACCCTGTCGGTCTCGAGTATCCGATACACCCGCACCTCGCGCTTCTTGTCGTCGGACAAGCGACTCCACACCTCCTTCGCAGCCTGACAAACAACGCAACACACATGCAGAGGGGGGCAATCATGTGTGTGACTGTGTGCGTGTGCGGATGGGGCGGGGGGGTGGCGTACCTTCCTGACGTATTTGGCGAACCTCGCTGTGTCGTCGTGCAGCCGCTGCCAGTTCTTGCTCTCTGTGAACTTGTGTGGGTACTCCTGCTCGTCCCACAGCTGGCTTGCTATGTGGTCCGCAACCGCCGCCAGGTACCCACACCACACACAGTGATGCCTGCAACGATCCACCCATCCATCCATCCATCAAGCAATCGGCCAGCGATGAACGTGTGTGTGTACGTGTCCCGTGTATTTATTGATGCGCTCACTTGGCTTGGTCGGTTTGTTGGCGACACTTCAGTTTTGCCTTCAGCACAGCAGCCTCTCGTCCGTCGGCGCTTCTCTCCAGATAGCCATTGTTGAGGGACCACGCAGACAAGTTGAGGTAGCTGCGGTGCGTCTGCTCGACCAGGCTAATGGGTCCCTCGGTGGCTTTGGGCGGGGGAGGCGGAGCTCCGAAGTTGAAGATCTGTGGCGGCCGATGCGGCGACTGACCTACTGCGAAGGTGAAAGGCAGGTTGTTGAAGAACATCCATGCCTCTCGTCGATTATGCCTTCTGACCGGACGCCAAGCCAAGCCAAGCAACTCTGACCGCTCGTGCGAGCTTGGCATCTGCGGGCCCGAGGGCCTTTCCGGACACTCTGCACACAATTGTCGGTCGGCATGGCGTGACTGCCCCTGATGCCTCTAGTTATCGTCTGTGGCGCAGGTCACATCCAATTGTGTTCACTTATTGTGTGCTGCAATCGGACAAACTGCCGGTGCTTTCTGCAGCGGCCGACTTTCTTCTGTCAGCACAGGCGACATGCACTAAGTGGCTTGCTCTCAACCCATTCTTGCCAGACAGTCAGGCAGGGGAAGACGACGAGCTGCTGTACGAACAGCATGTCTTAGATCAGTGGGCGCTCGACGTCGAGCTCTCTGACTAGCCTCTGGGTGTCTTGCCTATGTCTGGCTGTCATTCTCATATACCTGCAACCGTTGTCGACAGCGATTTTCTGACCATTGATGGGTGTCGAGTGGGTGGGTGGGTGGGATGGGGAGACAGGCCGTGTGCATGCTTCTATGCATGTGCATGCTGCTAGTTTAGTGCGTGACCTGGACAGGATCCCCTCGGGGTTACAGACACGAGTCTCGTTAAACACAATAACCAACCAACCAACCGCATGGAAGATTTGGACAGTCGGGAGTTGTCCAGGTGGGCTCGGTCCACCTGAATCAGCGTCCATAGATCAGCGTCCATGGATCAGCTCTCATCCGACGGTGAGTGAGGATGCAATTGATTGGTTAGCACGAGCCATCATTATCATGTGGTTTGCTGCCTCTGTGTGCCGATATTGTGGAATGCAAAGCTGCTTTACCAACGGGGCAGCACGGACTGATTGAGCGACTCTACACAGCCATCTATTGATCTATTGACTCATCAAAGGTGAGCACAGCCACAGCGGGGGCACAAAGGGATCCCCACCTCTTGTTGCCCGTGTGTGGTTCGTGCAGCTGTTGGTGTCTGTTTGAGTGATGTCTGGACGTCCCGATGCCTAGATTCCCTCTGCTGCCATGGCAGACGCTGGATGTGCAAAGGACGATGCAGGTGCATCACACTAATGCAGCACATCAAACACGCAGGATCATATCATTCCTGTACATCTGTGGTGTGTGCAGGCGATGTAGATGAGCAAGAGCGTAGCGGCAGTGGGCAGGCGGAGCAACTAGATCTCGACGGCGTCGATAGGGGTGAGTTACGAGCCATCCCACACAGACCGTTCCACACACACACCAGCAGCTCACTCAGGCCTGCTTGGTCGATTTATGTGGTGGTGTTTAGACGACCAGCAGCAGCAGCAGCTGGGTGACGGCGGAATGCCTCACGAGACGGCCGACGATGAGGAGGGTCCGCAGGCAGGAAATGACTACGAATCGGTGAGGCACTCATCAACACCAACACTGGTCCATGCGATTCATCCAGTGTTGGTGTTCTCCCTTGCCTCTTTGTTGTGTGTCAGGATGGCATGCAGGAGGACGATGGTGATGACGACCAAGAGGACGATATCGATGACAGAGACTCGGATGACGACGAATATGAGGAGGAAGGTACGCCAGACAGACGCGAGGGAGGATCCTGTAGAAAAGGCATTCAATCACCGTCCCTTGTGCGGCGGTGGGTGTGGCAGGGTATCCTCTCGTAGGCCTGGCGGATCCCGCTGCTCCTGTGCCTGACGGCCACATCGGACTCGATAAGCTGGAGGCTCGGTTCCTCAAGGGCACCAACGACCCCAGCAAGCAGCTGTCACGGTGGATCATCGGCCGCCGCTTCACCGACGCACGGCAAGTGACCGACCTCATGCGGCAGCAGGGCGCCGACCCAGATGTCATGACTAGGCTGGTCGCCGAGGGTAGCGACCCCATCGTCTTCGTCTATCCCCTCCTCGCCATCGCCATTGACAACAAGTCGGGCTACACCATCAGGACCATCGCAGCCCGAGATGATGATGGCTGCCATCCCATCGTACTGCCACAGTGGTCGTCTGACGAGCTGCAGGCGGCCGTCCTGACCGCACTCCTCGACGGAGGCGCCGACCCCAATGCGGCAGCCCATCAGACCGATCAGACGCCCCTCCACTTGGCGATTGCATCTGGCAATCAGACGGCCCTCGACATACTGACGGCTCGTCACGACATCGACCTGCGCGCAGCGGGCCAATTGTATTGCATGGTGATGGAGCTGCCCCTTCTTCCCCTGCGTCAGCCTCCCCCGGAGTATCTGCAGCTGCTGCTGTCGATGTATGAGCGACTCGTCCGACGCGACCCCACCCTCGCCACCGAAGAAACAAGCGGTGGCTACAACCTGGTGCACACGGCAGCCACCGCACGGTGGGACTATCCCCAGTCCTTCATCGACGCCTACCTCGACCTCATCACAGCGAACGGGGCCGACATGACGGCAGCGTCCGATGCATCGCAAGGGACACCACTGCACGACGCGGCATGTTGGGGCTCTACCCAAGTGGCCTGCTACCTTTGCCGCAAGCTGCCCGCTGACCAGATCAATAGGCGGAACTACCGCGACGACACGCCCCTCGCCACAGCTGCCGAGGAGCTCGATTGGTACACTCGAGAGCTTCAGGACCCGGAGACGCCCGAGGACACCAAGGAGGGGTGTCGCGCCCGATGTGACAGGCACAAGCTGACCATCCATTCGCTGCTGAGGGCGGGCGCCGACATCAACAGCCTCCCCATAGACGGAGAGCGACAGTTTGTGCTGATGGAGTACGCCACGGTGCTAGACGAGGTGGGCCCTGCAGTGATGTCGGCCGTCAACGCCGCCCTCGCGCCTCACCGGTCACTCGCGGCCCTCCTGACCCCCCGGCTGGCCGTCGGCCCGCAGGAGGCCCCCATCTTCGGCTGGCGCATCGCGTCGTACCTCTTCGATGCGGACGCAGCGGCATCGGCCACCACAGAAGCCATCGGCGAGTGTGTGCGGCACACCGTTATGGCCCGGCGTGTATGCGCGGCAGCGGAGCACTTCGTCAAGTCGGCAGTGTACCAGACCAGTAGCAACAGGGAGGTGGTGGGCGGGACGGCCAGCGTGGGCGGACAGGTGGTGCGTGTGCCGCAGCTGCAGTGTTTCGTGCTCGAGGGTGTCGACAGCCGTCCGCGCGAGGCGGTGCACACTCGTGGTCGTGTGGGCCTGCGCGAGGTGGTTCATCGGGCCAGGATGGACGAGGCGGCCCGCCACGGCGTGGAAGGGGTGGTCAAGGGCTTCAACACCCACCTGGGCGATGCCGACTGCCAGTTCACATGGCAGCAGCTGGGGGCCACACTCCAGTAGCTGACTCGCAGAGGGATTTGGAGAGGAGCGGTGACGATGAGATGGAGCAGTAGTGGACGACATAGATGAATGAGGGGCGCAGGCAGGTGGGGGGGCTTTGGTGTGGATGGATGGATGGATGGATGGATAGCTGTCGGTGCCTGACTCACACTCGACTGCTTCCTGGGTGGCCGGCACGATGGGGGCGGTGTCATGACACATGCGCGTTGGTGTCGAGAAAGGCGGGCGGGCGGGTAAGAGGCAGGCAGGCATGCAGGCAGGCAGACGGGGAGATGCCACCAGAGATGCCTCACCTGCCGCCTGGCTAGCTATAGCTAGCGGGTGGCCGGAAACTATACCATGCCAGTGTGAGTGGGTGTACATGTGTGTTGTTTCTCGTGTGTGAAGGGACAAGTGAAGGGACTTCTTCTATCACTCCCTCGTGCGTGTGTCGACCTACATGGTGCGGTGCATGGACACGGCAGGTTGTTGAAGAACATCTATGCCTCTCGTCGATTGATTCAAGCCCTCCGGCCACATCGTGCGAGCTTGGCATCTGCGAGCTTGGCAATCACGGCCTTTTGGCGCATGGTTGGTGTGGCCTTAAGGGTTTGGAGTCATGGCGACCATCTGCAGACTTACATGCATGAGCTGAAGGCGTGATCTGCCTCGACGGACGGCTCTGCGGCGCTCTCATCCTTTACTGCTCTGATCTGGAGATCCAGCGGCCATGGATGCCAGCGTGCGGTCGGTTATCGAAGCGTTGAGGGTCTCCGGCCAGCCCAACGTCTCGCATGCTGACCGCGTCGTTGCCGAGCAGCACTGCACCTCACTCTATGACCACCCTAGCGCCTGTGAGATCGCCCACAGACTCGTCACACACGACGGCAGCCAGCTCGATGCCGCCCTGCTCGAGCGGGTGCAGTTCTTTGGCCACACGCTGTTCCGCGAGGCCATCAGCAGGCAATGGCAGAGGTGGACGCCGGAGCAGAGGGCATCGGTCAAGGCGGTGCTGCTGTCCTACCCCACTCAGCTGCCGGCCGACCGTCTTCGATCGCCCATTGTGCGGCAAAAGTGTGCAGTGGCCTTAGCCGAGGTGGCGCGGCGGGAGTGGCCCCAGTGCTGGCAGGAGCTGATGCCGAGCCTTCTCAATGCCGGTCAGCGCCACGAACAGACAAACAAACAACCTGCCTGTTTGTCTGTCTTCATCTTTGTCTGCCTGTGTGCAGGTCGCACGAGTGCCGCCCACGCGAGTATCGTGATGGGTGTGATTCGCGAGTTGGCTCAGGAGTGCAGTGATGAGTCGACCCGTGGTCTGCCCCAGCGGCGGCGGCTGGAGATCGTCAGCGGACTGCAGCAGGCATGCAACGACATATTCAACACCATCGGGGGGTACCTGACCTCACTGGGGCAAGAGGGCGGCGAGGCACTGCTAAGGGCGGCACTGGAGGTCTTCAGGTAAGTGAGACAAGGCTGAGAAGGGCACGCCCCCACGCGTGTAATGGTGTGTTATGTGTGATGTGGATGCGTCAGGGATCTGTCCCAGGTGGTGTCGGTGAGTCGGCTGGTCGAGCTGCAGGTGGATGAGTTCCTCTCGTCCAACCTCGGCAAGTCAGACGCGTGCAGGAAGGTACGTGTGTGCCCCCATGCACCATGACGCCACATCCTCTCTGATCTGCTGCGTTTGTTTGCGTCTCCCAGACAGCGCTGCAGACGTTCTCGACATTGGCAAGCGAGGTCGGCCGGCGGAAGAACAAAAACCGGCCTGCCAACGACATGGGCCTCGAGCACCTCAACCGACTCACCATCAAGATCGCCGGGCTCGCACACGCTGCGCTGCCGCCACCGCCACCCGCACCATACACAGCTGAGGTACGGTACACTCATGGAGAGACAGGCACACTCAGTGGTGGTCGATCATTATGTGTTGTGTTGTCGTGTGGTTGGGTGTGACGTGTCTGTCAGATGCACGAGGTGGCGATGCAGGTGGCGTACATCGTGAGTGAGTTCCTGGAGACGTCAGGCGACGTTCTGCTGCAGAGGCTCCCCGCCCACACGATTGCCGTGCTGTGGCGGCATGGTGTGGTCCGTCTGATGCGCCACCCGTCGATGGACCTGGTGGCTGCGGTGCTCCACGGCGCGGCCATGTTCATCAAACAACTAGGGCCGAGGGCACAGCTTCCCGACTGGTTCCTCGCCGAAGAATTCAGCAGTAAGCAACAGGCCCACTGACACACCCACACCCACACAGACACACGCTCATGCCGTTCTTCTTTTCTCAGGTCTGCTGCTGGTGCGGATATTCCGTCTGGGCGACCCCTCCCTGCTCGCGCCGATGAAGGAGCTCCTGGGCAGCGAAGGCCTCAGGGCCATCGATGCCGTCGCCACCGACCTGACATCCACGGCTACGGGTGCGGGCAGTGACGTGCCGCTGCGTGTAGATGCGCACGGCATCAGCTGGACCGAGAGGGTGGCACAGCAGGTGGAGAGCGAGGAGATGGACACCGAGACGGACGAGGGGGCCACCTCCAATGTGAGCATCGGGGCGGTGTTTGTCGACAAGTACGGCAAGATCAAGAACGCATGTGGCCACGCGCTCAGGTCCACCGCGGCACTCTCACAAGAGATCTGCGGTAAGTAATGCTTC